TTCTCTCCCTTGAGAGGAATTTCTGCAGGACTGGGTTCCCCGTGGTGTGTCTCCCTCCCTGTGCAGGCTCCGTGCTCAGCGTCTCCGTGGCTCAGGAGGGCGAGGGCACACCCTGTGTCCGTCCTGCCCCCGCTGCCTTGCGGGAGATCTGCCCCAGGAGAGGGAGCCAGCGTGAGCCGGGGCACACACCCCCGTCCTCGGGGGAGAGCAAGCGGGTTCTCACGCGTGTGTTCTCTCCCCATTTCCTAAGTCGTCTTCACTTAATGGTAACCTTAGGGTTGCACCAGCGACCAGCGTTGTCTTTCTTCCGTGTCCTGTCGTGGCTACCCGGAGAGACCGGGCGTCCTTTCTGTGCCCGTGGAGGGGCGTGTGGCCACCGTGGAGAGTCCTCTTTCTACACACGTCCCTTGGCACACGCCGCCCCACCTTGCCCTCCGCTCCTCACCCCACACCACTCTTAGCCTGATTCTTTTAACTGTTTGAACTGTGTGTTCAAAACAGGAGGGGGAGACTTCCAGTTCTCCAGACCATTAGCCTAAAAATATCTGTTGCAAGGCAGTCTTCTGGGAGCCCGCCCTGGGCTTCGTGACTAGCTCTTCCCGCAGCCAGCAGTCCTGGCCGCTGGGAGCTTCCAGTCTTCAGCGCTCTGTTCCTCCCGGGTGACACCCGGGGGCCCAGGGCCTGTCCCCCCATGGGCATGTCACCATCTGCACACACCTGTGGCTCCTTCAGCCTCTGGGGACTAGGACAGCCTCCTGGGGCCCAGGGCGGCCCCACCATCCACGCCTGCCCTGGGGGCCCTCGGGGCTCCTCTCTGAGCCGTGGGAAGGGTCTCTGGACGCCACACGTACTACCTCAGCACCAGAACCGGGGGCCCTGTGGGGTCCCAAATTGCCGGACAGGTGTGCTCAGGGCCTGGCAGCTCGTGGGAACTGGCGCACATGAGCCCGCGAGGGATGCCCGTGGGCCCGTCCCGCAGCTGCTGGCTGGTCCACGAGGGCCGGAGGCATGGTTTCCTCTCCCCGGGCCCTGGCCGCAAACACGCCGCGCTCCGGGTCGTGTCGGTCAGAAGGTAGGATCGTTTGTTTACAGTAAGGGAGGCCTTTTCATATTTTTTCAAAAGGAATTTTTGCTTCAGAAGAAACTCCAGAAAATCAGTTTTTTATCATTATTATTATTAATCTAGCACATGCTCATTGCTTTGTAAAAAACTCGTGTAGGCTGCAGTACATGGAGCAGAGAGGTGCCGTCAGCTTAAAACAAGCCTTCGGTTTAGGTGGGTTTATGGCAGCGTCTTCCCGTGTGGGGCCTCAAAATTCAAGTTCTGCGTGAAAACAGACATCACCCCAAATCCACGGGGAGATAAGTTTATGGCGAGACGTGTCAGGTGGCTTTTAGTTGAGAGGAGCACAGGCTATTTAGAAAACTTGCGTGATAACTCATCAGTGGCTTTATCTGCTGACAGGGCCTTTTCATTTTGACTCATGTGTAACCCAGCTTTCGTTTGGTTCCTCAACCCTGTCCCCCTGCAAGTCCCCAGTGGCAGAGTGATACTCATTTTGTTTTGAATTGTACCATCTGTGAACTGTGACCATCATAAAGTGATCATGGCTTTGGCAGAAATTTTGCAAACCATTGTAGCCAGTTCTGCAGTTTGTATTCATGGAACTGGGAGTGATCAACAGGCTTTCACAAAAGCACCTCCCTTCTCCACCCACTGGCCCCCATCCTCACGAGAAGCTGCAGGGGCACCTCGGGCAGGCTCTGGCAGACCTCGTCTTTATCACTGCGTGCTCCTGGTGACACACGCTGGTGTCTGTCTGTGGACGAGATCTGGCCATAGCTCACACACGTGGAGATCGTTTGTTTTCTAGCACCGGTGGAAAACTATCAAGGGAATTCCCTAAAACAGACTTGCAAATTCAACTTCACCCTTTCAGACTCGGGGCCGATCTTCACAGGGGGTCCTGGTCCAGCTGAATGGCCAGCGTCGCTCTTATTGGCTGGTGCCTATGTGGTACCAGGTGCCAAATATGTGACAGTCCCACTTGTCAAGAACTGGTTTTTAGCACCCTCTTGATTTGTCATTGTGTTGCTTTTAATACCATAAGGAAAATACTCTAAATATCCTATAAATACCTAATTTCCAAAATGCCATATAAAAATTCATCCTGTTAAACACAAATCTTGGTTTAATGAACATATCTATCTCTTCTGACATGGTACATGCAGAATAGGTCCAAGTGTAAATCCTGCAGCTTTCATGATCTAATAAGCTTCCAAGTTGAGAAGTCTACGTAGGCATGTATTCAGATTAGGTTGTACTGTGTGTGATAAGGTATCCCGGTCTTCAGAGAAACACCTGTTACTGAAAAACAGGGATCTGCAGTGAGAAATAGATAAGCTAAATGAAAGACATACAGAGAGTTCAGAATATTTTAAGTACCAAGAAGCTGACACTTGCCCAATGTACTCCCCAACCCCAGTAGCATAGTAGAGAAGTCGTGCTCATGTGATCTCTCAGTGACGCATCATGTCTTGGACATCCTGTGGTCCAAATGTGTTTGTTCTGTGGAGTGATTTCCTATTTCTTTGCTGTTATGCAATTTAGTGAAGTCGGAGTGATTATGAACTAGTAACCTTTCTTACAAAATTGCTTTTTGGTTTACAAGTAATACTGATGCAAAAGGGATATGTTAACTTTCTTCGATCGCATAGCATGTACTGTGTTTACATGCGTCAGTCTATCGTGGGGTGACTGTGGGGTGGGTTCCTTTTCATGAGCACAGGACTTGTGCTTTGGGAACAAATTGCCATTGTGCTGTTCTCTTGTACCAAGGACCAGTGAAAGTGTTTTATCTTTTTTATGTAGTTTGTATTGACTGGATTTTATAACTGTAAGAAAACAGAACAGAGTGTTGTATTTTGATCTGAAATTTGTGTATGGTAAAGTAATTTTGTTTTATGTATTGCAAGTTCATTAAAACTTGAAATATTTTCTAGAAGGGTACTGAACAAAACGAATCATCTTTAAGCTGTTTCATTAACCTAATAAAACAATTTGATGGGGAAGGCATTCTGATTGCTTCTGATTTTTACAGTGGTTCCTGCAAAATTAGTGTTATCGATATAGCTTGGCGTGGTCTGTGCGTGGCATGTTGCCTTCTCTGTGTCACAACCTAAACAGTTTGAGGTCCGCCCCCTGGATCCTTGGCTGCTGCACTCCACAGTCATTGCGTGGTGCCCTCCACCTGTCAGGATAAATCTCCACACTGTCTCCCCCACAAAACAGTTTCAAATTTCCTTTCCTCAGAAGAAAGAAAGAAAGAAATTAGACTTAAGCAATAGAGAACCTTGACGTCAAGGGCGGAGTCATAAATGGGAGGGTTCCGTCTGCGGAAAATAGAGTTCTCTGTCATGTTCTCTTGCTCCCTTGCCAGAGACTGTAACCTCCAAAGACCAGGGGTACTAACAGATGTCAGAGGCAGATCTCCATTGCAGGCAAGGGGCAAGGAACTTAGGGAATCGACCAGTGATGTCCAAGTTACATCAGTCATGTCCCCTGGAATCACTCCCAAAATCACATGAAAAGAAGAAAAGGGATATTCATCTTCAGTGGTACAGCGGGGCATGATATAGTTTTGGATGTTGGTTTTAATTTTTTTTCTACCTTCCACAGCAAGGTTGTAAGGCCTGCAAACTTTTTTTAACGTTTTTTATTGATTTTTAGAGAGAATGAGAGAAACATTGATGAGAACCATCCATCGGCTGCCTCCTGCACGCTCCCTATTGGGGATCAGAGCCCACAACCCAGGCACGTGCCCTGAGTGGGAATCAAACCAGCGACCTGTTGGTGCGTGGGCCGATGCTCAACCACTGAGCCACACCGGCCAGGGCATCTGCAAGCCTTTGTATCATTGGAGAGTGGAGGTTGTGGAACACTCTTTACACAAAGTTTTAGCCAGAAACCAGCCCTCCGAGGGCTGGATGTGGAAAGCGTGGTTGGAGCTGTTGGGGGCCCCAAGCTCTGCCCTGAGGGGCCAGGCTCCCACTGGCAGCACCGAGGAGTCCTGGCTGTGCCCACTCTCCGCTGCAAAACCTCTCAGCACCGCCCTTGTCGCTGAAATGAGACTGAATTCCTCAATTTGCTTGTCTGGAAATCCTTCACTTTCAGTTTGCAGGATAAATACGTCACACACACAAGGATGGTTCTAATAATATAATAAAACAACAGAAAAGTTGCCACAGGTGTGAAATGGGAGCCCTGTGCGTTGCTGGTGGGAATGTAAGATGGTGCGCCGCTGTTGCACCGATAGGCCACCCCTCAACAAGGTAAAGATCGAGTCACCATGTGACCCAGCAGGTTTAATCCTAGGTGTCTAGACCCAAGAGAAATGAAGACGGACTCCAGTGCTGGTGCACGGATGTTCATGGCTCCAGTCACATTAGCCCAAAGGTAAGACAGCCCTGCAAATACGCATCGATGGATGGATGGGTACACAACACGTGGTCCATTCGTGCATTGGAATATTATTCACTCGTAAAAAAGAATGAGCCCTGGCCGGTTTGGCTCAGCGGTTAGAGTGTCAGCTCACAGACCAAAGAGTCGTGGGTTCGATTCCTGGTCAAGGGCCTATACCTTGGTTGTAGGTTCAATCCCCAGCCCCGGTTGGGGTTGTGCGGGAGGCAGCCTGTCAAACATTGATGTGTCTCTCTCACATCAATGTTTCTCTGTCCCTCCCTCACTCCCATTCTTATCTAAAAACAAAACAAGCAAATCAGCCCTGGCCAGTTTGGCTCAGTGGTTGGAGAGTCAGCCTGCCGTCCAGAGAGACCCGGGTTCAGTTCCCGCTAAGGTCACATACCATGGTTGCAGTTTGTCCCCGGACCTGGTTGGGTTGTGTGAGTGGCAGCCCCTCGATGTGTACCTTTCACGTCGATGTTTCTCTCTCTCTCCCCCTCTCTCTCCCTCCCTCCTACTCTATCCTCAGGTGAGAAGCAAATCAATGGAAAAATACCTTCGGTGAGGATTTTTAAGAAAGAAGGAGGCACTGACGCTACAACTGGATGAACCTTGACAACAAGATGCTAAGTGAAGGAGCCAGACCGGGGTTCCGTTGACATGAAGTGTCCAGAATAGGAAAAGCTCCAGAGACAGCAGGTGAGTGTTGCCAGGGCCTGAGGGGAAGGAGCCATGGGCACAGGGTTTCCTCTGGGGTGACAAAATGACGCTCACACAACATCATGAATGTGCTCAGTGCCACCGGATTACATACCTGTACGTGATTTGTGTTCTGTGATGTTGATCTCCATAATAAAAGGAGGCATAGAACATTGGGAGCAAATAAGAACAAAGATTAACACTCTGGCCCCGGCCCGTTGGCTCAGTTGGTAGGAGCATCGTCTTGTCCACCGAAAGGTCTCGGGCTCCATTCCTGGTCAGGGCACATACCTGGGTTGTAGGTCCGCGCCCTGGGCCCCGTGGGTACGTGGGGGAGGCAATCAATGTTTCTCCCATTAATGTTTCTCTCTGCATTCCCCTCTAAAAATCAATGAACATGTGTTCGGGTGAGGATTTAAAAAAACAAAGATCAACACTCTGGGCAGAAAGTGGTGGGTACTGGAGGCGGCCCTGGGTGGAGGCTTCGGGCTGGAGGGCCGTGGGCCTGGTGTGTGCCAGCAGGTGGCTCGAGGCACGGGCCATTCCTGTGTGTGTTGTCCAGAGTTTGGGGGATCTACAGATCTTCACACCATCAGGAAACTGAAAGGAGCCCTTTGAACTACTTTTCTAAATTAGATTCAAGAGGATCCAGCCCACCAGTTCAGTGCCAGACTGCTGATTTCAAATCCCGCCTCCACCACCAACTGGTTCTTTGACTAGTTCCTTACCCCTGTACCGCAGTCTCCTGGGGACAGTGACAGGCCCTCAGGCCACAGGCTCGTGGTGAGAAGTAAAGGCACTGCCACATGGTACCGAGAACCAAGGCCGGCTCACGCTGAGACCCGTGCTGGCTATTAGGCGTTTGTCTCGGCTTCACCGGGGCTGCGGGTGCCGTGGGTGGGACGCCATCCCCACTGCCTCGGCCATGCTGCTGCTTCCCCAGCGGAGTCCCGGCCTCCTCTCCGCCCCGGGAGGGCACCGCAGGGCGGTGAAGCCCCGGCCCTCCGTGCTGTCCAGGACCCACAGCCATGAGTCGTTTGTGGGCGAGGCTCCCCAGGCCGGAGGCGGGTGCTGAGACAATTCCCAGCCTGGGAATCTTACCGTAAGGGCGGTTGTATTTTTATCCAGCAGGATATACTTATCAGCTACGGCCAGGAAAGGGGAAACTGACTAACAGTTCCAGGCCGGCCTGCTTCCCCAATGCAGCCACGTGGCCGGGAGCGAGGGAGGAGGAACAGGGGTGTCCTCTGCCCGGGGCATCAGCTCCCCTTGGCTGTCTTTCCTCCTGTCCTAACACTTAACATCTCAAACCCCGTGGTGGGTCTTTTGCTGCTAATTGTCATCCTCACAACATTCCCACAAGGTCATTATGACCCTCGACAGATGAGGAAAGCACAAACCTTTGGGTCACTTGCTCCAAGTCGCCTGGCTGGTCTGAGGCAGGTCTGGTGACACCGGGACCTGTGTTCTTTCCACAACTGTCCTCTCGCCTTTGTGCCGCTCTTCGTGTCATTAGCTGCACTAACCAAGTTTCCTGTGTTCTGAGGTCCCCACCGCACCGGCCCTGTGACGTGGCGAGGAGCCGGCTGTGCTCGGGGAATGTCCCTTATTCTCATTCTGCAGGAAAAGGACTCGAGCTGCCTTAACCACTTAGTCGATGGAGTGATGCCCCCCCCCCCCCCCCCGGATACCCATGTCCCAGTCCCAGACCCAGCAGATTTGTCACTACACATGGCAAAAGGGACTTCGCAGATGTGATTAAGCTAAGGATCCTGAGATGGGGCAGTGATCCTGGATGAGGCGGGCGGGTCAGGGTCATCCCGAGGTCCTCATAATGGGGCAGGACGGTCAGAGAGAAGATGTGACAACAGAAGCAGAAGCTGGAGGGATGAGCGGCTACAGGCCAAGCAGTGAGGGCGGCCTCTGGAAGTCTGAAAGGGCGAGGAGACAGTCTCCCCTGCAGCTCCAGGAGGAAGACAGCCCTGCAGACACCTGGAGTTAGCCTGGTGAGCCCCGTGTTGGGTCCCGGCCTCCAGAACTGTGAGAGAGTAACTCTGTGCTGCTATAAGCCCCTCCGTTTATGGTCGTTAAGTACAGCAGACACAGGACACTGGACCCCACCCTGTAGAAGCTCGAATCTGTGAGTCTGGGGCCCAGGAATAGGCCCCAGGTAACTGATGTGCAGCCCGAGCGGAGAGCCATCCACACTTCAGACGCCTGGCTTCCCCGGGCTGGCGGGGCATTGCCAAGGACATTGCCAGAACTCACAGGTGCTACTTCGCCGAGATCTGAGCCGCTCAGACTTCCTGCCGCACGGAGGCCACAGCAGAAGCCCCTGGGCCCACCCACGCTCCCCGAGGCCTCTTTACCCCGGCTTCCTTCAGAGAGCAGCCAGGACAGAAGGAAGCTCGACAGACAGACCCTCCTGTCCACCAGCAATCACTGTCGATTCCTCTCAACTTCTCTACAAACCCATCGCCCCAAACCTCTCCCTTCACAATCTGCTCTCTCAGTTTTGGGAAGTCCCACCATGTCACTCCCCAGTTCAAAAACCCTTGGCTGTTGTCCCACTGCCTTGAGAAAAACCCAACCTTTGTGCCTCTGAACCTGCACAAAATGCGTTTCACCCACCGCTCCAGCTTCATTTCTGTGCCACTTGACACTTCCTCCAGCCACAGGGGCCTTCTGTGACCACAGGACATTGGCACATGCTGTGCCTCTTCCCCTAACACTCATCCTGGCCACCGGCTTCTCATCCTTCAGGGGGAAGCATCAGTGACACCTTGTTACTGGGGACTTCTTTGCTCCTGTCCCCCAACTCTGTATCAGAGGGGCTAAAAATGCTGAAAAGGCCTAAGAGGTTCCAAAGAGACAAAGAGGTGTCGAGAATCAACTGCTGATTCTTTACAAACACAAATAACATATGCAATGTAAGTAACCGAACATGGGCTCTTAGTTCATCTTTCATCTTTCCGCTTTCCATGGAGGCCCAGGTAGGAGGACTGTCTCGCTTCCTTCTGAGCACCACTGTGAGAACAACGGCTGAAGATCCCAAATGTCCGGGGACACTCAGCCTCAGGCTTAGGAATCCATGACAGGTGAGAGAGGCGACACTCCGCAGAGTGACGCCGTCGCCCGAGGCAGCACCGCCCAGCAAACACTCTGCGGCCCAAGCTGCCAGACCTGACTTCTCCCAAAAAGTTTTTCATGAAATGCTCTGGTTTCTGCATTTCAAGTTAATTCAGCCCCAGCCGGTTTGGCTTAGTGGTTAGAGCGTCGGCCCGCGGACCAAAGAGTCACAGGTTTGATTCTGGTCAAGGGCATATACCTCGGTTGTGGTTTGTCCCCGGTCCTGGTCAGGGTCGTGCGGGAGGCAACCAGTCCATGTGTCTCTCTCACATCGATGTTTCTCTCTCTCTCTCTCTCCCTCCCTTCCACTCTATCTAAAGATAAATGGAAAAAATATCCTTGGGTGAGGATTTAAAAAAATAAAAATAAAAAAGATAATGTTACTTCAACTTGGGGGGGATATATTACGCTGTTCACACCAAGCCTAGATGTCTGTGGGTCTGATTGCTGCCTTCCATTCATCACCTTGTTGATGTCTTTCCTAGCCCAGGGTAGCTTGAAAAACATGGTCATAAAGCAGGTCATTTTTCCCATCTCCTGCATCTGGGCTGGGCTTGTGACTCACTGTGTCAATAGAATGTGGCGGAAGTGACATTGTGCTAGAACCAAAGCTGACCCTGAATGGCCTTTGCCATTTGGCTTCTTAAACCCTCCAGCCTCGACTGAGCCACCTGGTGACAACGGAGGCTACAGATGACTTCAGACAAGACCAGCAAAAGAACCGCCCAGCTCAGCCCCACTCCAGTTGCAGAACGGTGAGGAAATAAACAATAGCTCTTTTAAGCTATAGGCTCGAGGTGTTGGTCATGCAGTAATAGATAACTGATACAAAGCCCTATTATAATCCTTCATCATCTTGTTTATTTACTTTCTGTCTCTTCCCTGCTCAGCCCGTTCCCCACACTCCCTGGAATGCTGGCTCCATTAGCCCACAGACCTTGTCTGTCTGGTTCCCTGTTCAGTTCCCAGTGCCTCGTACAATGCCCAGTGGGTGCTCAGTAAATATTTTTTGAAAGAATGAGTAAATGAGTATTGACGGGAACTCCGCTTCCTAGACATGTGGGTCCTCTTTCATCACGTTGGTTTAGGTAGATAATTTAGGGAGGCGCCTTCGAACCCCGGCTGGTGTGGCAGCCGCCTCCCACGGCAGGCAGAGCAGAGAGGTCTGGCCTCACAGCGGAGTGAGCTGGCGTGCGCTCTGGAGCCCCTAACCCTCTGGGCTACGCCTGTCTTTTTTAATCCTCACCCGAGGATATTTTTCCATTTATTTTCAGACAGAGTGGGAGTGGGGAGTGAGAGAGAGAGAGAGAGAGAGAAACATTGACATGAGAGAGACACATCCATCCACTGGTTGCCTCCCACAGGACCCCAACCAGGGCCAGAGACCAAACCACAACCGAGACTCGTGCCCTTGACCGGAATCGAACCCACGACTCCTCGGGCCGACGCTCTAGCAGCTGAGCCGAACCGGCCCGGGCATCACAGCTGTCTGCAATGGGAACTGGAAGGGCTGCTGGGAGGCTCCCCCGAGACGCATGTGGTGCCTGGGGTGCATCTTGCTTGGTGCCTGGCCGGTGCAGGGACGCGGGAAATGGTCTCTTTATGTGTTTGAGGGAAATGCTCGCATTTTAAAGAGCAGGGTCGGGTCTGACTGGTGCCCACGGCACTTTCTCTGTCTGCTGTCTCAGCCTCTAACCTCTCCTCTGGGGCCTTCCCCTCCCCCTCCCCCCCCCCAGTGCTGCCAGCTGCCCCTCACCAGTGACGTGGGAGTCCACCCTCTAAGAGGGTGCTCCTGGGCACCCCATCAGCACCGGCAGGACCGCTGTGCTGTAGCCACCACGCATTGCAGCCCCACTCTGTCTTCCATCATTTGAATCCTCACAGACACCGGGGAGGTTTATGCAGAGGAGAAAACAAAGACCCAGAGAGCTGACATCATTTGTAAAATGGAATCAAAGCCCACGTGTCAGCCTTCGTGGGGGGGATGTGAGTGACTTGGAAGGGGTGGGCCTAGACCAGGGCCACAGGCCCCCACATCCTCTCTGGACCTGAACTTCTCCTGCACATCCCAGGAAGCCAGGGGACAGCGTGTGACTTGGAAAGAACCGGGCGGGTCCCTGCTCAGGAATCCCCAGGACTGGCCCTGGCGGTCGGGGGCGGGGCTTCCACAGCCCTTGGCAGAGGCAGGGCTGGGATGACTTCATGTTTGCACTGGGAACCTTCAGGATGGGACAAAGCTGGCCTTTATGTCAGGGCCGATGGCCTTGGTCTGAGTGGGTGACTTCCCTCCTCACCGATGGGAGATGAGATCTCGATGCTGAATGAAGAGGGACACAGACCCAGAGGGCACCTGAGCGGCACTCCAGCCCCTCCGGACACCTGCCAGGCGCTGCCCACTGCCCCGGGCGCCCAGGACACCCGCCCGCAACGGAAACGGGCCTGGTGCGGCTCACGTTTGCTGGGGTATCTGCAATCCCCTGGGGAGCTCTGACGCCCACCCTCACGCGGCCCCCCCTGTGACCAATTCAATCAGAACTATTTTCCTAAAGCCCCCGGGGCTGAGAACCACTACCCCAGTGAACAAAAGCCCACGTTGAGCACTTACCTTGTACCAGGTTCTAAGAATTTCACCTATGTAGACATTAATTTACTCTTCACGTGATCCTCTGGAGGTAGGTACTGTTGTCATCATCCCTATTTCACAGATAAGGGAAATGAAGCACCCAGTGGTGACGTTGTTTCCCCCGTGCTCCTGACAGGCCCAGGATTAAATCCAGACAGGCGGGTCCTTGAGCCTGGGCACTTAAACACGACACGTTGCGGCCAGATGGGATAGGCTTGGCCTTGGCACCAAGGGAGGAGAAAAAGATCTGGAAGTCAAAGTGGGCCACAGGCCAAATACAGATGTCACTTTTATGGGGGAAATCTTGAGGTTCTGGGGGTGGGAAAGGTCTGAGTTCAAATTCTAGGCCTGTCCCTCCCCAGCCACGTGACCCTGGGCAAGGAAGTTGTTTTACATTTCTGTGCCTCAGTCTCCCCATGGGTGAATAATGCCCGCCTCACACAGAGCTGGTGAGACAGCAAATGGAAAACACCCAGCTCAGGGCCTGCAAATGAGGGTGTTTAGTGAGGGCTAATTCTACACCTGTGCTTCCTCCCCCACCGCCTCATGTCTAGCTCAGGTGTGTCTCCAGAGGAACCCTGAAGGGGTCCTTCAGACCTGCTGATCTTCACGAAGCGCCGGCAGCCTGGGCTCGCCCCACTGAGCTCAGATGGGTTTGCTATGAAAGGGTGTTATTGGAAAAGGCTGTTCTTCCCCAGCCAAGAAATGGCCTCCCTTCCTTCCTTCCTTCCTTCCTTCCTTCCTTCCTTCCTTCCTTCCTTCCTTCCTTCCTTCCTCCCTCCCTCCCTCCCTCCCTCCCTCCCTCTCTCTTCCTTTCTTTCCTTTTTTTTATAATATATTTTTATTGATTTTTTAGAGAGAGAGGAAGGGAGAGAGAGATGGAAACATGGATATGAGAGAAAAACTTCAATTGGCTGCCTCCTGCACGCCCCTACTGGGGATGGAGCCCACAACCCAGGCATGTGCCCTGACTGGGAATAGAACCAGCACCTCTCCGTCCATGGAACCACACTCAATCCACTGAGCCACACAGGAGGAGCAAGACATGGCCTTTCTTTAATCAACAGTTCTGGTCACACAGACGGATTTGCCCAAAGCCTCTTCACTTCCACGAAGTCCGGTTTTCCTCCAGAGGGAGTGATGGGCTCCAGGACGTCTAGGGGTCCCCGATGGTCCACCCTGCAGCCCCGAAGACCTCCCAGGAGCTCAGGGTGCACACACGTGTGTCAGGCTCTATGCCTTTGGCATCCACCCCACTTCCATTGCTACTCAAATAAGGAGCTACCTGCAGAGCTGCCCAGGGAGGGCGGAAGGTAAGCGGCTCCTCTCTGCTCATCATCCGCAAGCACACAGGCCCAGTTAGAACTCTCCCACGGCCTCCAGGGTATGGGAGGGGTTCCCATGTGTTAGGGGGGCTGTGCTCTGGCTCAGCTGAGGGACCAGGAAGGCAAAGGGTACAGAGCACTGGCCTCCGAGTCCAGCCCCGGGTTCCATAGGATCTGCACCTGCGGAGCGGTGTGGCTTTAGGCATGGGAGTTCCTCTTTGGGAACCTCAGTTTTATCATCTGAAAAATAGGTTTGATACCAGAACTGAGGACTACACTAGGTAATGTCCAATCATACGCCCAGTAAGTAAGTAGGAGTGGTTCTAGTCACTAAATATTTTATTACTAGGATTATTGTGGGCTACTGTGAATTCAATATCCAGGAAATAAGACCCACTATCCAACATAATATCTAATAAAATATTCATAATGTGTAGTAGTTATATCCATTTAAGCGATATCTGATAAATACGTGGAAGTAGCAGTTATATCCGTGGAAATAATGTTAACACTGTGCTTATCGTGAGTTACTGTGGGTCCTAAGCAGAGATGCCATGAAGACGGCCTCTGGGAGGGATGGTGTGGTGGTGTCGGCTGGGCAGGCCCCTATTGATGGGGGCACAAAATTGGAATGAAAAACTCCTCTGCTCTGTGGTTTCTTTTTCATCTGCTCGGGACCAGCCATCTTCTCCTTGTGACTGGCCCACACCACCCCTCCCTCCCTCCCTGCCATGAGCATCCAAGTATCCATTCCGGGGCAGATCCGACAGCACTCGGCGGGCGATGACAGTGTCCAGCAGAGGGCGCCCCACGCCCACAGGGCCGAGGGTTTCTCCGCTCACCCAGTGGTGGGGGTTCTGAGTGCATCTCACCCGGCAGTGCCTGGCTCAGGGCGTGGGCTGTGGGAATGTTACCCAGGACCATTTTCTTCGATGCCCGATTGTTTATCCAGGCCACTGTCGTCTCTCTCCTAGACAATACAGGCCAACTCTGTCCCCCCAACCCGCAGACAAGTCAGGCCACCTGCATCTCCCTCCGACATGGCCCCTACTGTCATTTCCTGCCCCTAGACAATCTGGGCCACAGAGTCCCCTCCCCCTGCATGACACCCTCAGGCCTCCCTGCCCCTAAACTTGGCCCCTCCTGTCTATCGTCCACCCTGTAGCCCAACTGACTTTCTAAAACGCAAATCTGAGCACGTTGCTCCCTGCTCAGCATTCACCAAACACTTCCCTTAAATCGGGGGTTGAATTCCAGCTTCTTGGCGAGATTTATGGGGTCTTTGGACATCTGGCCACTGCCTGGCTGGCTCTTCATCCTCATCCCTCTAAGGGGTTCCAAGCAGGTTGGAAACGTCACGCTCCTCTTGATAGTTTTAAAATAAACTACGTTTTTATTGACATACCGGCTCTCCCTCTCTTGGTGAGCTCAGGGCTTTAGAAGGTGCGCCCTGTTCGGGTGACCTGCCAGTCGACCTGGAAGGCTCTCGGCTGGCATTTCCCTGCCCTCCTCGGTGGGCAGCGCTGGCCGCTCACACTCCTTCAGACCAACCGCGTCTTAGGTGGACTCAGCTTCAAAGTCTTCGCCATAAGGGGCCTCCACCTTCCTGACCACACCTGGCAGCCCTGGCCTCTGAGAGGGGCTGAGCTCACCGGCACCCACAGGGGCCAGCAGCAGGCAGAGGTGCTTTGTGAGCTCCCCCTGCGGGCCCCGCCCCTGATTCATTCCTGCGGTTTGCATACTTCCCGGTAGGCCCTGAGCTGGCTGGTCCCTCCATTCCCGCCTCGCCATCGCCATCGCCAACCTGACCCTTTCCCATCTCC